GGATTTCCCTACTTCGGATAAATCTTACTATGTAAGGCATAGGCTTAGGTTGTTGATTTAACTGGTTCCCAAAAAGTCTAATTAGTTCAGCAGTTCTGTTTTTTACATGCAGTGTAGCACTTGTAAAAAATATACAGGCCTTGTATGTTACTTACCACAGAATAGTAAGATTTTAAAAAAGAAATATAAGAACATGATTCTTTAAATCCTCATTATGTGCACATAAGGTAAAAAAATTATTGGACATACAGCATCTCAGTTCTCATAATTTCTTCTTTAAAAGGAAGCATGCATCTAAGTTGAGAGAGTACCATGGATGAGAAGCTGTGCATCGTCATTAGGCTAACTTCACATGATTTTTGAAAACCACACCATTCAGGGAAAATGCAAATCGCATCCCTGCTGACCTAGTGATGCAAATTTCTTAAAGGGTGAAGAATCTAGACCAGTGGCTCTCAATATTTTTACACTTGTGGCACCCCTCAGAAAATTCTGTCTCCTGGCTCTCACTCATTTTTTGCCTATAGAAAACTAGTAGAGCAATTTTTTCTGTTGCAAAGAACTTGGATCGCAGCAGGTCAGAATGTTTTTGACACTATGGATTCCTTTTTTGAAATCTCTGGGTTTCTCTTGTGAACCCTGCAAAGGTGTTTGTACACCTAAATCGAGCAGCACTCTTAAAAGGATCTTGTGGCATCAGAGGAGCATAAATTGTCCTGCATTACTCAGCCCTGTGTCCAGCGAGGGGCAGTTGCCACAAAGTGAAATTTTACACTAGTTGTACTACTCTAGGTCAGGATTCTAGAGCCCCAAAGGAAGCGTAGATCAAAAGTAGACATGCGTCTTCATTACGGAGCTTCTTCCCCCACCATATGGACTCCGTCACTTGCTCCCTTTCTGTTCTTCCCCCTGTTTCATGGCATACCTGTGTCACAGAGCCCTGCTTTTAGAGTGAATCAACTGCATAGTGCATTTCAAATTGTTTTATGATGCATTGTTGCCATTTTGTTCAGAAATAGTAAACCAGAATCAATCTTTTAAGGTAATGATTGCCTGGGGCAACAGACACTTTTTCTTTTCTTTCCCATTCCTTTGAAACATTGCCTATACACATAATTATGTTTAACAGGAATCACCTTCTTGATGCTTTTCCCCTTCAGAGGAAGATTGAAAAAGTGCCATCTTTGGTTCCCTGTTCTTTTTCAATTCTTCAGCCCTGAGGAAGAGCATCTGTGATACCTGAAAGTGTGCCCATAGTTATCCAGTGGTGTAGGGACAGGGGGGCATGCCTCTGGGTGCTGGCCTGGGGTGGGCACCAGTCGAGCCCTCCAGGGGGTACTCAGTTCCCTGGCAGCACTTCTGGTTTCACTGGCACTTCCAAGCTTGGCGTTCGGCCACTGGGGGACCCTCCCCCATTCAGTGCTCAGACGGCCTCTAGGGGATGCCCCTTGCCCCCACTCAGCGATCGGCTGTGGGCAGGGGCGCAAATGTAAGCATTGGCCCCATGGGCGCCGGAGACCCATGGTATGCCACTGTAGTTATCCCAAGTATATGGTTGGTCCAATAAAAAATATCACAAAAAAATCCTTGCTTCTCAGCATTTTCTGGACCATCATGGCTATAACAACACTCTAGCCCTAATAAGCATCTTGCCATTTCTCCGTGGTCTTTCTCCTTATGTTATTATAAAGCTCTGTTAATTTTAAAATTCTTGCTGACTTTTAGCAAATGTCATAACGAGCAGAGTGAACTCCAATGGATGTCCCTGTGTTCTTACAGATAAGACACTCCCTGTCTAGAGGACATGCAGAACTCCCTGCCTGAAGGATGGGTGAGGGTTTTATAAGGGACCTTATCAAAACTTTTTAAAATCCTGAGTAAATTGATTCTACTAGGTTGGCTTATCTTCCATTTTATTAACTCCTTCCAAGAAGCCTGGCAGATTAGGGACAAACAATTTTTCTTAGTAGAAATTGTGGTGGTTTGACCCTACCATCATATACTTATCCAAGCGCACAGCCCTTAATTGTGCTCTCAATCAATTCCCCTGGTACCATATCTTGTAAACAAAAGAATTCAATTTACAACATCCCCATTCCATCATGCCCAGCGTCCTGGTTGTCAAGTCTTACGTCTACATTGTCTTAATTATTTGTGGCGGTTGTTATTTCCACCCTCCTTTTTATCATTGTCATGGTGGTCATATAATGCTGTCGCATTATAAATAAAGTTAGCTCTTGGCTTTTCATCTTGATTATTGCAAAAGAATGTTGTTGTCTCTAAGGAAGGACTTTTAGATGGTTGGATCCCCCCAAAATAGCATTCAATTATAGCCCTTGGGATGTACAGGAAAACGTGCACTGAAGATTCAGTTCTTGATTTTGTATTCTAAAGTGAAGTTATAAGAAGAATTCAGTGCTGACCAGTGCACCTCATCAGTATGCTGGGTGGACTGTCTCAAGGGTAGAAGCTAGTTTAGTCTTTGTACAAAGGTCATGGTGTTCCATAGCATTCAGGACTAAGCTCCACATCTTCTACATACTGTCCTCTTATAGATACTGTCAAGTAGCATTACTTAAACAGCCAGCCAACACACTGACTTTTCCTAATGTCCTGAAGCATTTTTTTTAAATATATCCTGTGTTGTCTTGTACTGCTCTTAGAATAGTGGAGGATCGACATCAGTGATTGTCTACTGGGGTTAGTCCCTATTTGTTCCAGATTGAAAGCAAACTGTTTACAACTAGGCTTTATATTTATCGGACTGTTTCTATTTTACTAGAAGTCTTTGCTCCTCTCTCTTTTGACTGACTACAAACTGTTTTCCGCCAGGCTAGTTTCAGAGAGCAACTGCCTGTGATAATCAAACCCATGGCCTCTCGGGAGTTGTATTTAAAAATAAAATAAATACAATAAAATAAAGCTTGTTAATTGCAACATCCATCCCAAATGACCATGTGTAGAAGCTTTTTCCTTCAAGGGGCAACAATTCAGAAAGGTATGACTACCCCAAACCAGGTATGTAAAATAAATCTGCTAATTATGCTGGTAATTAGTGTTGGGAGTAGGACAGTTCAATTGAGATGTTTGTTCCTTGCCATTTCCCGACTGTTCTTAATTTTAGCAATATTTATATTATTTGTGTAAAAAAAAAAGAAGAAAGAAAACAACAAGCACCCTCCCCCCCAAAAAAACCCCAACCAAACCCACAACCTTTGAAATGGTTAACAAAAAAGGAGAGAGAGAAAATGTGCGGTAGTGAGGTAGTGTATCTACAACGTTGTGACATTATTATTTTCTGAGCACATATGCTTTGATAGTCACCATTGGACTGTATTATTGTGCCTCTCGTTCTCGATGCCAGAACCTCTTTCCATTGTAGTCTTCATGTTGATAACCGTTTTAAAGTATAATCCTTGATCGTATATATGTATATGAATTAATCAAGATGGTCACCACATTATAGGTGGTTTTAGTGCAGAAACTGAGTGGTAAAATATTTGTTATTTTATGTTCCAACTTTGTAAGTCCTGTGAGAGAGAAATTCCAGTGACTCTGCCTTGTAAAAAAAAAAAGAGAATAAACCTGTACAATTTTGCTTTTAAAGCAATCCAAGCATAAACCTTTAAGTGTTTCCAGACTATGATTTGTATTAAACCTGACTGCAATTAAGCTATCTAAAATTGGTGCACCAGAAACTGGCTGTTTTATAAGAACTTGATAACTGAACAGGATGATGATTATACAGTATATTTAAAAAATAAATAGCATAAATCAGAGATCCATATAGTACAGATACATATAATGCAAAATATTTTATGTGCATATTACTGCCTTCAAAGACGTAGGGAATGTAAGCAATAAAACCAGTACATTCGTATTTTAAACATTGTTAAAGTAGCTTAGTGGTGTGGATATCAGATGCTTAGAGAAAAGAACCTTAATAAAAACTATATTTTCAATTATATGATCCACAACAAATAGGCTTCAGCTGAGTTTTTATTTAGCAATTTGTGTTTGATGTTTGCACTAGAGATGTTATCCAGTTACATTTTATTACACTTTTCAAATAAATTGTTAGGGAAGATTGGGAAGTAAAGCTGTTGATTTGTAGCACCTCATAAACTAATGATTTTTAAACTTTGAATAATGCATATTTGAATAAAGAGGAAAAAAGGTTTTGCAGTTGAGAGTATGCAAATCTTCCAAAAGAAAGAAATATGGGAACATGGTTTCTTCTTGTAATCATTCCATTTTTAAAAACGTTCCTTACTTTACCTAGTTGCTATTTTTCTCATCCTTGATATTTTAGTCTTATAATATATTAGTCAAAGACAGATCACAAATGGTATTTTTTTCCTCATTGAAATGTAACCTGGAAAAATTGAATTTCCATTATGTGTTTAGTGACATACCTGCTATCTGGCAGGTTGTTTGTGGGTTTTTTGTTTGGTTTGGTTTGAGTTGAGAGATTTTATATTGAAAATACAGTTTATTGGGAAAAAAAATGTAAACGTGTTCTGGAACACATTTGACATTTTATTTTCAAGGTTAAAAAAGTGAATATATGTACATGGGTGTCCAAAGGTGCGACTGCAGCATGCCTGGACATAACCAGGCTAGTTTTAAACTCAGAGAGCTATGACAGCCCTAGGTTTAAGATCCTGAACTCAACCATGGCCCTGGCAGTATACTTTGAGGAGGGGCAGCCCGTGCTACTGCAGCTGTACTCCTGAGCTAGTTAGTTTCCGTAAGCTACAATGACACAGTCCAACCTGGAAATGTCCATTTCACGTGATCTTAATACTTAAAGGAATAAACAAATAGACTGAAAAAATTAACCACTGAATAGAGTTGGCCTTTGGAACGTTCCAGCTTTTCATTCAAAAAATGAAAAATGGAATTTTGGGCCCAAACAGAAGGATTTCCAATGAAAGAAAAGAAAAAAGTGAAAATCAGACAATTGACTCTGGAGGGTGGGAGTGGGGAATCTGTTTTGGGAAGGAGAAGGGGGAAAAAAAAAGAACAGGTCTTCTGTTAAACTACTTCTGCCAGGGGAGGTCTGCCCAGTGAAGTACTATAGTACAGAAATCAGAACGTGGGGCCTAATCTCAATCATATTCATACTAGAATAGAACATGGCTGTAACCTGGCATGAAGAAGTTGAGCATTTTGCACCACTTATTCAACCATCTCTTCTGGCTATCATTTACGTGTGCTTTTGTCAGGCTGTAGAAACAGCCCATCCCTCCTGGTCTGGCGGGGAGAGGCACACTGATACAGAATCACTCAGATGATTTGCTTGGTGTGGATAGGGAGTAGAAAAGGTGTGAGAATGTATCAGCAGGAGTTTGGGGAATAAATCTAGGGTGAAAATATAGAGGATTAAAGGGCAGGAACTCATGCTATGGGACAAAGAATATCTATCGATTAACGTATGTTGGCACAAGTGTGAAATGCCATGCAATAATTTAGTTGTTTTTTCTGGCCATTCCGTAATATCCCTAAAACATCAATGAGGTGATGATGATAAAATAAAATAAATTGTTTACCATAAGAAATTTTGACTTACTTGTTAAAAGTAATTGGTGCAATTACTAGAACTGAGCACATCATACATGTTTTAAGCTTAAACATCAGGAATATAACAGGGAATACAGGGAAGTTGGCAAGGGTGCCCTGTGTACTAGATTCACCAATGTTCTGTTCATGTTTTGCGAATGATTTTAAGTTGCTATTATCATTATCAGTAGTCTGTCCAAAGCCACAAATGAAGTCACTGCCAGATGCAAAATTAGAATCCAGGTTTTCCTAGCTCCCCATCTGGAGTTGGATCACTAAAGCAATATTAACTCTGAAACAGTTAAAAAAAATACTGCAAAATATATATGAATAAGACCTGAAAATGTGACCTGAAGAAAAATATCCTGCATTTGAAACCATGCAGTTAGTCCAATAAAAGATCACCCACAAAAACCCTGGCCTGTCTCCCAGATAAGCTAACTTAAAACTCCTTATTAAAAACTTAATAAAAGGTTATTGTGTAGGTGGCTAATTTATCAAATTGGTTTCTGTTTTGTCTTTGTCTTTTTTTGCCTGCTACTTGTTATTTTACTTCCTTGTTTCAGATGTTTTTTATTTCCAC